TGTTGAAGAGAACTATGAGCATATGTTATAAGTTAAAGGACGTCGTTTTACAACCTGTGCAGTTGTCTAGGTCGTTCATGTCGCCTACGGGATCCGGATCGCGATTTCGGACATCTAATTCGCCCGGGGTCCGTTACGGTTCAACAGCATACGGCGTAGACCGTCGAAAGGCGTACCACGGGGTGCCCTGCCGCGGCGAGACACGTCCCGGGGTACGCGTGGGAGACCCCTGCGTCGTCCCGGAGGGCGGCCGCGACCGTGGGACCGACCTTTGCGCGCGCCGCGCGCGCGCGGAGGCGCGGACGCGTACGTTGTCGTACGCGTACGTACAAGTCCGTCACGACCGGTGGGTCGACTTCCCGGCCGAGTAAGAACACCACTTTCGGGCCAGTGTCGTTGGGCGCCGCCCCACGCGTCCTGTGCGAATTTCGCTCTCTTACTCAGCTGGGAACCCCGCCAAGCCTTGGGTGGCCACTCGCAGCGCAAGGAGCCGCCCAAGGAGAGCCGAGCCGTGCGGAGAGCGTCGTGGTCGTGGGATGGCCAGCGCTCGGCGCCTCGAACGAACCTATGCGCCAAAACGTGCAAGAGCCTCGAGGACCTTGCTGAGAGTGCCTCTGCAGCGCATCGACGCGCGGGAAGTCGAACGCGTTGCGGAATCAGCCCATGCGCCTCCGAAGGCAAAACATGTGGAGGTCGGTCGACGGAGCCGCGTTCTGCGCCGCGCGCGATCACGCTGCGCGTCACGAATGCTTCGGAGGGTCTATAGACGTGCTGCGGCTGGCGCGCGGCGTCGAACATCGTCCCGACGCACATATTTCGACCGCTGACTGGCGCTCAACACCCGCAGCGATACGCTGGCGGGCGAGTTCGCATCGATGACGGCGGTTCCAACGATCTCCGGCTACTGCGGAGACCGCCCTCGACTACCACAACACCTGCGACGCGAGGCGCGCGACCCTGGGACCCGTCGACGAGCCGCGACACGTCGACGATTTCGGGGTCGTTTCGGTGCCGGCCAGTCCCGCGGACGCGCGGTAGCGACCCGCTCCGCGACCACCAGCGCGCACGGCCGTCCTCGGCGCATCCGAGCACACCTTAAGGTCAACTATGGCGCGTGGGGTGCGCCCGGGGCGTCTTGGACGGGCACCGGGTCCGTTCCTAGTCCTCAGGCTGCTGGTCTTTGTTTGAACGGCAACTTACCCCCCTTCGAAGGGGGGAAAGCCGCCGGAGGCGGCTGCCCCCCGCCGGGGGCGGGGGGGAATCCCGCCGGAGGCGGGGGGGATTCCTGCCGGAGGCGGAAGAATCCCCCGCGAGAGGGATTCAGTCGAAATAAGCGACACATTCGCGTCATTTTGGGCGGCGCGCTCTAAATTTTTTCTCGCGCTTCGCGCGCCATCCGCCAGTGGCTCTGGAGCGCGCCTTGGCAACCTGCACCCCGCGCTAAAACGTCGCGTACGACGCGTGGCGACGCGTAGATAAGACACTCCAGTGGGTGTTTGCGCCATTTTGGGCGACGCGACCCAAATTTTCTCTCGCGCTGTGCGCGATAGCAAGCCGAAGGCGTCCGTTTCCCCTTTCGTGGGGATCGCACGTAGGTCGCTTCCCGCATTTACGACGAAAAATTTCCAAGGACAGCTTAAATTTTATCGCGCGCTTTGCGCGCGGGCGCTCTAAGATTGCCGTCCCGAGAGTGCGCGGGGAGCGCCGTGCGCGGCAAGAGGCCGACGTCGCGCGCGCTCCTCGACGAAGTCGTAGAGCATGCCCAAGATCGCCGCCGGGATGGCGCCCTGCTTGTTGTAGCGGCCCTTGGCCGCGATGACCGTCGCCCGCTCGCGGAGTTTCGTGCGCCGCCCGCGCGTCCGACGGCGGCGCGCGGAGGCCCATCATCCGCGGGTCGGGCTCGGGCTCGTCGCCCGCCGCCGCCGCGGTCTCGCCGGGGGCCGCGACTTCCGCATCCGGGGGCGGCGGCGCGCGCGGCGGCGGCGCCGCCGCGGTGTCGCCGTCGAGCAGCTCCTCGCGCGCGCGCCGGTTGTACGTCCGCTTCTTACCGCAGATGCACTTGCGGTTCCTGTCGCGGTCGCACGCCGGGCAGGACATGCGGGCCTACGGGGCTGCGGCGTCGACGCGCCGTCGTTCGGGGTGCGCGCGCGCGCGCGCCCTCCGCGCGCGCTAAGTCGGGCAGCCCTTGACGCACCTGGCGTCGCTGCGCCGCCGGCTTCGACAAGCGTCGGTGGCCCCTGCCGTGTGCCTTGATGGAGCGGTCGCGCACGAATTTGTTGAACCGCGACTTCACATGGGACATGTCGCAGCGGACATCGTATTCCCTCCCTTGTCCGATCGGACACCTCGGACTCACCGAATCCCCCGCGCGCGCGATTCGGGACGCGCGCGCGGG